CGCATCCATTGGCGTCTCCTTCATTGCTTCCTTCCAGCCTAGTGCACAGACTCCTCTCCCAGCCCCCCTGTGTTTCTTTTTAGCATGCAGCCTCTCTCCCCTGCTGCTGAGAATGATATTCTGCTCCGCCAGCCAGTCTCACCATTTTCTCCAAATCCTTTATTTAAAAACTCACCTCATCCAGGAAACCTTTCCAGAATGAAAATGGTACCCTTAAGAAGAGAGCAAGTGATGAACTGGAAAACTAGTATCTGCCTCAGATGTCTTTGCTCTCGTGCCTCACTCCATTGCTTGGAAGCTTCCTAGATCATATTTTGCCAACTTCTCTTTATCTTGTCCCGTTTCCCTTACTAATCTTTCAATTTCTCTCGAATTGTTCCTCTATCCATAATTGTATGATGGATCCTTATTTTCAACTGCATTATATTTACCCACATTTTCCATATACTGAAATTGATTTTAGGGGTGCATTCACTTGTGAAGTGAACTACAAACACCAGGCTGACTATATGGTTTTAATCAATGTCTTTCATTGTGCCTATAGTTTCTCTGTGGACCTCCTCTTATTTCTGTCAGTCAATCAACTATGTATCAGGTGCCTGTTCTTATAGGTGCTATTGCTTTTGGTTCAACTTCATTAGCTTAACTAAAAAGGAAAGTAATGGAGTAGTAACTGACGGCATCCTTGAGCAAAGAGAAATGACCTAGCATACAACTTATGTTCTTGTTTCTGGCAAACTTGAGGGCAAACTTAATCTAAAATGGTGTGGATTATGTTTTATGACTAGACTCACATGGAAATATAAACCCTAAACCAGTTTAATGTCTATAATGATGAGCTCTGTCTTAGGACATGCTTTTTCTCCCTAAGAGGCTATGGCTCCCCTGCTCCGTCTGTGCAGCCCCCTACTGGAGGAGGTTCTTTTAGGACCAGGTCATATCCAGAAACAGTGACCTTTACCAGCATTCTCCAGCTGAATAAAACAGTTGAAAAAATCTGCTGAGTACTGCTCTTTCAGAAACTAAATGGCAGTGAAATTACAGAGGCTGAAAGAAAATGGCGTACGCTACCGTAAGTCGAACAACAGTTGCAATGGAATATTTTTCCTTGTAAGTTTTACTTTTCAGAGTCTCACCAGTTTTCTGGAGCAGCATATGCCTGGTTTGGGCTTCACAGAGTATTGCATTATTTCGTGGAGCAGTGTTAGGGGTTTGGGAGCCTTCTCTGCTGTATCTTTACTTTAAATCATCATTCATAGATTGGTGCTTAAACTATTCACAATGGTTAAGTCAATAATAAGCTTTCAGTTTGACAAATATTTGATTTTGCATAGAAGTAAATGTACCAGATATTTACATACTGTGCCTGGGTTCTGGATCCCTGTTGGGGTGGAAGTGTGGTAGTACTGTTTTCTGAGGTCTCTTTCTGCATCAGATTCTGCTCTTTGAGAATCCTCAAAGACCACACTCCTAGTGAGTAGTGAAAGGATCCACTGCCTGGGGTAAGGGTGGGGACTCCTCTAGTGCCTGAGACCTTGGAAAACCCAGAATGAAGGTCAGGGAAGTCCCCCCCCTCAACCCCTCCAGTGTGATTGGCCATCCTCTGGGCAACCATCATAGAGTAGTTTCTGCCCTTGGACTTGACTTTGTTTTGTTTTTTACTCTATCTTGTTGATTCTGCTCTTTCAAAAAGTTCAACTATTTGAAGAAATAAATGCATCAGAGAGAAACAGAAACCACAGGATGATGCCTTGGGAGTGTGTTAAGTCCAAGGGCATGTAAATTAAGGCAGCAGGTCATAGGGACACTGCAATTGGAGCATATTTCTTTCTTCAGTGCATTATGCATTAATATTACATGGGCTATTTTCTCCTCTGTCTGTTTTACTTACTCTCAGAAGTAGCTTTGTGGTGACCTAGTACCCTAGTTACCATGTTCTAAAGACATTCTCCAGAGACCAAGGCTCTCTTTTCAGTGCTTAGCTCAGTTGGCCATGTAGTATGTGTTGAACTCCTGCAAGTTAGAACATGTCAGCAAAAATGATCCCAGGGCTCTCAGAGTCAGTGGTTTGAAATACTCTGGTACTGCCTCCTTTGAGGGGGTTATTATGCTGATATTTACATGAAGGAGAATCCATGGGTTCTATAATTAAATATATTCCCTGTTTCAGTGGAGAGAGAGGAAGAAACAGAGACAGAAATAGAGGTATGCTTTCTTTTTTGCCATCTTTTTACTTCCTCCCCAACCAATAGCCACTGTGGAAGAGTGAGTGTCACCTCCCTAAGCCCAGCCTAGAAAGTTCTGAAGCTTGTCTAAATCTCTGGTTTTTAAAGAAAATATATAGGAAGACTTTTCATGTAACATATATATATTCATTTATTAGAGCCTTCTGTGAGTGACTTCTGATACTAACCACATTTAATACTTCCTAAAAAATATATATTTTAACAGATGAAGAGTCTCACAGGTTTTTTGGTTCCGGTAATTAAATCATGAGGTAAAAATACATACCAATCCCAAGTAGTTCTGACATGGCCTCGACTCTCGGTGATTAACAGGTATCTCTGTTATTTGTGATTTTGAATGTACGTGAAAAATAACACGATATGGTACAAATTTCAGTTGTTAAATATGAAATGAATGTCATGTGTTTGCATGGTGGGTTCAAAAGATGTACTTTACTGGTTATGTATATAAATATACTGACATTTACTGTGCAGCTCATCTATTGTAAAGTCCCCTTCTGCCTTTAAAACATTTTTTAAATTTGTCTGTTTTTATATGTAAATTTTTTCAGGTTATCTAAAAATAAGTGGTACCAAACACAAATAGCCAACTACAGAGCAGTTTCAAAATAATTTTTTATGTATTTTTATGTTTCCATGAGAAATCTTTCTCATGTCTCTGAAAGTGGCATCCTATCCTACTAAGCTCTCTCTTGTGTTACAGAAGCTGAAAGTCTGGAAACTATATTCTTTAGACGCCATGGAATAATGTGTGCAAAGTCTCTGACACATACTCCTTTGTGGAAAGGCAGTGATGTGATGTAGTCAGATCACAAAGGACTATTCGAGATTATAGGGCTTCAACATGGCAGCACCAGGCATGTTTTAAGTGCTTTGCAGGTGCTAACTCATTTATTCCCCACAACAATCCTTTCTTAATAGATAAGGAAACCATGACACAAAGAGATTCATTTGTTCAAGGTGCCATGTAGAAGATCATAGATGAGTTTTCATAGATGAGTGTCAGAGCCAGAAAATGCCTTTAAGATGCCACAGAGTTTCTTCAGTGAAGAAATCTATAAAACCGTTCTGAAGAACATAAAAAAAGACCCAAATAAATATTGAGAATCACAGGTTTCTCTGTGAAAAGTCCTCAGATTGTAAATGTTAATTCTCCCCAAATTAATCTTTAAATTCAATTTAATTCCAATCAAAACCCCTTTAGGATTTTAAATGATGTCTTACAAGAGCATTATTGTATTGAATTAGAGTCATCTGGGAGATAATTTTCATCTGGAAGAAAAAATTCCCAAGGTGTGCCATGAAATTTTGAAAGAAATTTGAATGGTGACTTTTACCATCAGATATTTAAAAATACTGTAGTGATTAAAGCAATGCGGTAATAATGCAAAAGCGGGCAAGTGATAAATGAAACAACTAGGAAAGTCCAAAAATAGATGCATGCATATAAGCATATATGGCATTTAAGAGGAAAAAGGGTGGATTTTTGAAAGATGATGTTGGGATACCTTATTACCCATTTTGAGAAAAATAAAGTTAGACCATTATACACAAGCAAAAAATCTACATAGAAGAAAACCCTAATAGTTATTATGAAAATATAAGAAGAAATAGTGAAGAATTTAAAAAAATAATTTTAGGGTAGACGGGTAGCCTTCTCAAGAATATACAAAAAATATACAAATATACAAATCCCAGAATTTATAGAGAAAAAAATTAGAAAATTTGAGTTGCCTACACAAAGAGAAAAAAAAAACCTTACATATGATCAAGGACAATATAAACAATGTAAGTAATGTAGGTGAAGAAAAATACATAACAATGGCTGAATAAAAAAAATACCAGACTGATCTTAACATGACCACAGACCTCCAGTGACCCCTCTGGGCTGCCCCAGAAAGTGTCATACTGAAGCCATATTGCCCAAGCCAAATAGTTCACATAGCCTCCTATATTTAGAAATCTCCAATACCTACTCCTTCCTCCTCATTCTCAACTAGTGACCTTCTTATCTCTCTGAGAAAAAGGAATCCATCAGAATCGAATTTCCTTGTGCCCCCATTGAAACACTACTAGCCTACCCTCTCTACACCTGTTGATTTTGCTTTGTTGCTTCTCGTTAAAAATGGATGAATGATCTGTGCTCTAACCTAAGGCCAGAGTCTTAAGTAAGACTTGGGCACTGTCTAATAGCTTCATACCCACCCAAGGACTTTATTTCTAGAATTGTCCTTTCTCTCCTACTTCTTAATTTAGACTCTCTATTGGCTCATTGCCATCAGCATGAAATCATCCTAGAAAAGCATCTCCCATCTTATAAAAATAAAACAACCTTCACTTGATCCTATAACTTCCTATGAAAACTCCTCTATTTCTCTGTTCCTCTTTAGAGCATAATTCCTCAACAGTGGAGTTGGCACATCTTTTCTCCTCCTGCTATTCTCTCTAGAGCCCAATCCATTTGGAATTTTGTCTTTTCACTAAAACCTCTCTTCTCAAAGTCACCAATGACCTTTATATTGCCAAATACAGTATTTCTTCTAAATCATAACTTACTCTATTTCTCTATCACTTATGATCTGATCGTGGAGTCTAATACCTCCTATCATAGTCTACTGACAAAAACTGTCATGGAATGCAGCCCTATTTGAAATCAGAGCTCAGAGGACTACTTGGGAATCAATCATAGGGTTTCAAAAGGAGAAATAATAATAGCAGCTAATTGTTATGTAGCATTTACTGTGCAATACCCACTGTTCTAGATGCTTCCCCTGCCTTCTGAGATTCCACAGGCTCCTGGGTTTTCTCACACCTCACTGGTCACTTCTCAAGCTCCCAGGATATGTCCTCTCCAATCTCTTCCCCGTGGATATTGGAGCCTTAGGACTTGGCCTTGGACAGCTTCACTTCCCTGCCCACACTGACTTCCACAGAATTCCATGGCTTTAAATACCATCACACACTGATGACTCACACACTCATGCCACCTCCAACCTCCTCCCCCTTCAACTCCAGACTCCACCCACTGCCTGCATAGCAGTGGGATATTGAATAGGCTTCTCAAACTTACCATGTAAAAAAGTGATTCCTTGCTTTCCCCTCTAATCTTCTCCATCTCAGCAGAGGGCTCCATCATTCACCTAGTGCTTAAGCCAAATATCTTGGAATTGTCTTTTCTCATTTGTTCTCATATTCCACATCCGAACCATCAGATGCTCTTGTCAGCTTTACATTTGAAATACACCCTTAATCTGGTGACTTCTCTCCAGCCTTGTTGCCAAAACCCTTGTTGAGTCATCTCTTGCCTGGACTACCAAAATTACTAACTGTGTGCTACAATTAACAACCACATGATCTTTCTGCTCCCACTCTTCCCAACACCCCCTTACACACACACACACACACACACACACACACACACACACAGAGTCCATTTTCCACAGTAGCCAGCCTGATCATTTCCAAACGGAAGTCAGATTACATCACTGCCCTATCAAAAATCCTGAATTGCTTCCATTCTCTAATGAAAGAATTCCATAGTCCATAGTTAACAAGGCCTAAATTTTCTAAGCCCTGGTTGTCTCTGTAGGCTGGTGTCTTACCATCTTCCTCCTTACGTGCAGTCCTTCAGCCACACTGGCCTTCTTGCAGTCTCTGGAGCACTCCCATCATGTTCCTGCCTCAGGGCCTTTGCACATTCTATTTCCTCAGACTGGAATGTTTTCAATCCAGATATTAGTTCATGTCAGTCCTCAGATGACCTTCCTGACTTCCCTATCCAAAATAGCATACTACATCATTCTATATCCCTTACCCTAATCCATTTTTCTTTATAACATTTATATAACATTATACCTATGTGCTATTTGTTTCTTATATATTTTCTACACTAAACTATTAATTCCAGGAGAGTGGGACTTTGTCTAATTCACATCTGTATTCCCAATATCTAGAAAAATGTCTGGTACTAAATGCTCAATAAATATTTTTTAAATAAAAAATTAATAAGTAAAAGACAAGCCATAAACTAGAAAAAAAGTATTTGTAGCATATAAACAGACTACAAATTAATATTCAGAATATTAACAATAAATGCAAAAGAACAACTTAATAGAATAATTTTTTAAAAGATCATAAACAGAAAATGCAGTGAAGAAGAAACCCAAGCAGTAATAAACACAAGAAAAAATGCTACAAATTTTACAGATAATCAGAAAAATATCAATTAAAACAATGAATTACCACTTCTACCACTTTCACAGTGGCAAAATTTAAATGATTGACAATATCCATTAGTGGCTAATGTTTGCAGAAATGGATAAAATTGTAACTATTGGTGACAATATAAATGACTAAAGGTTTTTAATTTTTTAGAGGGCAATATGATATTATATACCACAGGTTTAATTACATATATTATAGGCTTCACAATTTAACTTCTATGAATCTAAAAGTTACAGACAGAGACTACTCATACAAATGCAGAGTTATTTCAACACTATTTTATTTAGCAAAAATCTAGAAATAATCTAAACATCCATTAATAGGAATGGTGATTAACTTTGAGATGGGAAATGGAATGGAGGTAGGGAATAAAGATAGTCTTCAGTTTTTATTTTACTTTTTAAAGATTTTATTTATTTGACAGAGAGAGAGAGACAGAGAGAGCACAAGCAGAGGGAACAGCAAAGGGAGAGGGAGAAGGAGAAACAGGCTCCCCACTGAGCAGGGAGCCCAATGTGGGGCTCCATCCCAGGACCCCAGGATCGTGACCTAAGCTGAAGGCAGATGCTTACCACCAACTGACTCACCCAGGTGCCCTTTAAATTTTTATTTTATATAATTATGTGTTGTATTTTTTTTAACAACGAGGGCATTTATATTTTTTTAGGATTTATTTATTTATTTGAGAGAGAGAGAACGGTGGGGAGGGGCAGAGGGAGAGGGAGAGAGAGAGAATCTGAAGCAGATTCCCCACTGAGTGCAGAGCCCTATGCCAGGGCTCCATCCCAGGATCCTGAGATCATGACCTGAGCTGAAATCAAGAGGCAGCTGCTTAACCAACTGAGCCACCCAGGCACCCCTATGATTATTTTTGAAAGATCTATAATAACTGGAAAATGTTTCATGGGTGAGAACTATGTGCAAGCCCAAGAGGCCCATTAAATAGCCCTGAGGAGGACGAAGTTATCAGGTTATGTATTGTTACATAATAAATTCCAAAACTTAGTGCCTTAAAACCATTTGCCACATTTCACAGTTTTGTGGGTCAGAGATTTGAGCAGGGCTCAGTGCTTGATTCTTCTGCTCCACACAGCCCTGACTGAGGTCACTCAGAACTATTGGGGGCTGGGCTGGTCAGAAGGGTCCAAGATGGTTTCATTCACAAGTCTGGCACCCAAAGGGGGATGGTTAGCAGATTGGGTTCAGCTAAGATGGGCAAGTGGAGCACATCTATGTGGCCTCTCCAACACGGCCATCATAGAGTGGTGGACTTCTTATGTGGTGATAGGGCTCACAGAGACAGGGAGCTAAGATTTGGGAAGTAGAAGTTGCCAGGCTGATTTAAGGCTTAGGCACATAATTTGGCACAGTGTTAACATTTGCCACATTTTATTGGTCGAAACAGTCATAAAATCCATGTATGTTCAAGAAGAGGGGCCATAGACTCCTACCTGTCAATGAGAAGAGTGTAAAAAAATTGAGCCACCCTAAATGAATTGCAGTGATCAGTCCTGGCACTCTACTCATCACTCTCCCTCTTAAACGACTTCCAGTTATAGATTATTAGTTCTGACCCCGACCATGCCCTTTCTTCTGCTGGGTGAAACAGTGTGTTCAGTTTGACATAACTAGAGAGAGAAATTCAATAGAAAAGGTAGAATCCCGCCGGAGGTTGATGGTAGAGATCTGACAGGAGTCACACATTTGAGAAACAAAGTGTTTTGATAGTAGGAAAAACCTCAGGAGTGAAGGATATCACCCAGTACATGCAGAGACAGGTCGAAGATGGATTAAGAACCATACTAAATTAGCAAGATGGATTAAGGACCATAACAAATCAACACTGTGGTGATTATTTTCTGTGCTTAGGAAGAGAGAAGCTGGATTGTTGGTTTGAACTAAGAAGGGTATAATCAAGTAGGATATGAATGAATTCCAGAAGCAGAGTGTTCTCTAGCAATTTCATATGTTGGCATTTATTTTGAACATATTGTGAACTTTGCAAAGACACATAGGAAATGAGGAATGCTTATGTGCTGGTGGTCCAAGTGACCCACCATATTGTTGGTTCTACCTAGGAAAGATCGTCTAACACAGAGGGAGTTGATGACCTGAAACACAAGAGAGATTTAGTGAGAGATGCAGTGTAATTTTGTGCAAAATACTGTTTTTAAGAGATTGGAAATAAAATTCACACTTGTTACAACATTCAAACAAGAAAACACTTTTTAAATTTAATAGTGAGGGGTGCCTAGGTGGCTCAGTCAGTTAAGCATCTGACTTCAGCTCAGTTCATGATCTCAGGGTCCTGGGACTGAGCCCTGCTTTAGGCTTTGCACTCAGCAGGGAACCTGTTTCTTCCTCTCCCTGTGCCCCTGCCCCTCGCTCATGCACTCTCTCTCTCTCAAATAAATAAATAAATAAATAAATAAATAAATAAATAAATAAATAAATCTTTTAAAAATTTTAATAGTGAAAGATGATCCCACTCCAGTTCCATTTCCAGTATCTCTTTTCTGTCCTTTTTTCTAATTTGTTTTATGTTAAAAATATTTTATTTTATTTAAAAATAATTATTTTAAGCATACAGAAATTTACAAATTACAGAGTAATGTGAGAATACTCCTATTGCCATTAATCTGAATTAACAAATACTAATGTTTCTTCACATGTGGTTTGCATCTCTAGTAAAGGAAATAAAAAGACACATACAATTGGAATTCTTTTTATACCTCTAGCATGTCTCTTCTCCTCTATTATGAGTTTGTGTGTTTATCATGGTTTTTTATGTTTACTCCTTATGTACATGTAAATGGACCAAGAAAAGCATTGTTTTATGTACTTATATAGTTCATACAAATGGTATGCTGTACATATTGTTCTGTAACTTTCTTTTCTCACCCTATATTGTGTTTTGGATACATAACTATGTCTTTAGAAACAGATCAAGTGTTTTCATTTTAATACATTTTAATTGTCTGTCTTTCATCATATGATTATACTAAGTGTATTGAACTATTCAAGTGAAGCTAGACAATTTACTTCCAATTTGGGGATTTTATAAAGATTGCCACAATATGTATTCTTGTACATATATATCCATGTACATCTGAGTGGGAGTTTTGTAGGCTATACAGCTATAGGTAGGCTGATTTTGACAATAAGAAGCAAAATATTCAGCTCAATCTGGCTTAGAAATGAAAACGTGTATTATTTTACTTAAAAAGAGATTGTTGAGGTGGTAATGGCTTTTTAGGCTTAGTTTATTCAATTCCCAATAAGGCCATTAAGAAACCACTCTTTTCCATCTTCCATCCTGCCATTCTGGGTGTGGCTCCCTTCTCAGACTGTTGGCAAAATGGTTACAGCATTTGGAAACATGACATTCAGCACAACAGTGTCCAGAAGATGGAAGGCTGTTTTTCCTAAGGCAATCTCTTAGGACTTATAATCTTTCTCCAGAATACTCACAGCAGACCTCCTCTTGCAATTTATAGGCTACAATTGGGTCATTAACAAAGGGAATATGGCTACTTTTAGAAAATATCAAGACCACTCCTGAAACTGGGGGTAGCATCTTCTTCCCTTGAAACACATGACTGTGTAGGGAAAGGGATAGCTAGACAAAATCAGGCTTCTGTAAAAAAAGCAAGGTTTGGGGAAGGATGCTGGTAAGCATCTAGT